AGCCGGCCACAGCAACCTTATCAATCGGGACATATTTTAGGCACAGCTAATTTTCTTCATACCGGTACTTCTTCTAAGCCCTTGCTTTCATCTTGGCAAAGGTTCACGTATAATTAAAATAAAGCTTCGAACCGTAGATATCTACATGCACGGTTATGGTCACATTTAGTTTTGCATTTGTATTTCATCCTCCCCCCCCCCAAAAAAAAATTAATTAAAAAAGATTTCTGGCAAGGGCTTGCTTCACAATGAAGTTTCAGCTGCGTAAAGTGCATACATTAACCCTGAAGACTGTTCGTTGTCAGACACCAGATTCATTTGATTTCTGCTTAACAAATACTAAACATATAATTGCAGCTGGTTCCTGGCCTGAGTAGGGCATTTGTGATTTCATGGCGAGCTTAAAAATGTCGTCCAATTTGGTGGCGGCGGCGGCAGTAGTGGGGGCCTTAAATCAAGGCCTTTCTCCTTCAGAAGGGGCATTTGGCCATGTGGGTGAGACAGGCATTGCAGAATAAGCTGAGAGCGCTGATTAGAGGCGAAATTGAACAAGGCCCCAGCAGGGATGAAAAGGGCAGCAAGAAATGAAGCATGTCAAATTATTCCCTGTGACAAACCAGTCCTAGCCATTTTTCTCAATTCATTTGTGAGTCACTTCCTGAACAGCTCTAAAAACCAGCCTTCCGGATAGGCTTGCCAAGTCTCCCCGGGGGGTGGGGAAAACCCCGCCCCAGAGGACCGTTCCCTGCCGCCGGCGGATCGGGCCCCGGGGGGAACTCCACCCCGACGTGTACGTCACCCGGAAGTGACACGACCACACCGGGTACGCTGGGGGTGGGGCCACAGTCATCTGAGGGAAAACTCAATGTTTTTCCCTCGGATGGTTGTGGCCCCGCCCCAGCATGCCCGGCGTCGTCACGTCACTTCTGGGTGACGTGCATGCGGTGCGCGCATGCTTTGCGCGCACACGCACGCTCCAGCCGCCAGCCGGGAGTCCCCCGCTGCGGCTCAATTCCGACTTGGCAACCCTACTTCCAGAACAGATTAGAATTTAACATTTGAACATCTGAAAGGCAAGGAGGGAGATAACCTCATATTTGTCAGGACATATTTATATACCCTGGAAAAAGCAGAGAGAGATAGAGCCACATTTATATTAAAAAAAAAAAAGATTTTCCCTGTTGCTGTTCAGAGGATCAAAGAGCGGCATGGACACTATTAACATTCAAGCCGTCACCAATGGCAGTCATGAACAGAGAAGTTACACCTGTGCTTAAAAACTCCTTTCTACGGAATGGGATACACAAGATGTCATTTAAAAAAGCTTGCAGAGGCAAAGCCACAGGTAAATAAGTTCCAAAACACCTCTTAAAAGCATACTGTCCTGAAAAGCAGATTTGTTTTTCTGGAACAAAGAAATCTGCAAAGCTTTAAGTGAAAAATCTGTTCGTTTGTTTTTTTTAAAAAAGCTCCGTAATGTTGGAAATCCAAGCAGCACAATTCTAGCACAAGAGAAACCAAAAGTAGAACTGATTGGAATACGCTGAAGACAGCATAAACAAACAGAAATGCCTGTTTTATGCTACTAACTCTAAGGAACAGTTGGGAAAAAACTGAAATCATATATAAGGTGGACTCACTGGAAGTAACCTCTATGTAAGATATGTGCAGCTGCCCATTTTAACCTGAATAACAAAACTGGCAACCCTCAAATCTAATTCACTTGACTACAGTAAAGTACTGGTAAGCCAGGTAATGTGAGAATGGGATCCAAGCTCCTGCAAGCAGACGTAGTTTGGCGTAGCAAATCTTTTCTGATTTCCCTTCCTGCAGCAGCCCCCAAATTCATGCAAGAAAAAGGGAAGGGTTTTTATCCTGTTCTCCCTCTTGCTGTACCCCCTATGGCATATTGTTCTTATGGTTTCCCAGCCTTTAGCAGCAGCTTTACAGGGGTGTAGGGGGCTACTGGGTGAAAGGCAGAAAAGCATCTTCCACAAGTCTGTTAGAAGCAGGAGCTTGGATCCTACCTGTTCTTTTGACTTCAGCACATCTGAACATCAAGAAACATTTAAGACGACCAACCTTCACAATTCTAGTCAAGCTGTGGTGCTCTGCACCACCTAGCACTTTGCATTATTCACAGCCTGCACAGAGATCAGTTTTTCCTAAGTTACCCTTTGGGATATTAGTGCTCCCAAAGAAAAACAGGAGAGGAGTACACATCTCAGGCACAAATCGAAAGACACTTACAAATGACACACTAGGTATGACAGCAGCATTACCACCATCAGCTGGGCTGACTGAAAAGGAATGTATTACTGTGGTGGATTTTTATCCAGCGTAAATTTTTTTAAATGATCCCAAATGATTAATTTCTTCTTCCTCACCCCAGTAGCTTACACTTGCTTTGGGACAATCAGCATGTTCCCACAAAAATGCTGCCTCTTCCCAAGACTGAGAGCATAATTGCAGGGGACAGACATCTTGCCCAGGCACACTCAGTTAGGAAAGGCAAAACAAAACTTAATATGTTTAGATCAATATTAAGTCAAACGATGTTATCTTTAGATTGTAATGATGAAAAACTGATATTGTTGATGATATGAAGTAATTTGGAGCAGGGGTGGAAGCATTGTGGGAAGCCATTGGAGGGAGGGGAGGAACTGGGAATGGGGTAGACAATTGATAGAATGAAATGTTTTATATGTTGTATTCCTGAGAAAATAAAATTTGTTTACCCAAAAAAAAGGAAAGGCAGTCCCTTTGCTAAAATCTAAACAGAAGACATGCCTTTCTCTCCCCCCCCCCTTCAGCATCCAAAGAGTTCATTTAAGTCCAGCACATTTTTAGGGCATATTGGATGTAGCTATTTAAGAGAACTGTCTAAAGACAAGCACTTTTGATCACAGCAATTACCTGCCTGACAAATTCAGGCCTCCCTTTTTACAAGAATGATCTCTGGCCTTCCTTAGAAGCCCAATATCAAGATGGAAGGAAACGGGCAAATTCTTTGCTCCTTCTTGATTTCTTGGTAATTGAGAGGCCTGGATGGGTTACTTCTCCCTTGCCAAGAGAAGCAACGGGCTTGCAAGACCAGTCTCTGCTAACTGTCGTGTTTGAGGATGATAACCAAAAAGGAGATATGCATAACTAAGTATCCTCTCTAGGGTAATGGTAGGGCCCAGGCTGACCAAAGGAAAAAAGAACTTCGTTGGGAGACAACATTCTTTCCATCTGTTACTGCTTTAACCCTTCGTGCTGTTGCTCTGACACCACGATGACAAAGAATACTACGATGAATTCCAGCTGGATGGGTAGAGGTGTGTGTGTGGGGTTAATCCCGCCATTTTGGAATCATATCTAGGAAGAATTCAGCAATGCCGATGAAATAGACAACTTGTGCAATACCAAACAGTGGGGCGATGACCAGGGCTCTGCAATAAGCCCCCTTGAAAAATGCCGTAGGACCTTCCTTCTTCCAGATTTTCCTAAAGAGAGAAACAAAAGAAAACTGGTGAGAATCTTGTTACAGTTCCTTCTCCTAGCTGTGCCAGCTGGAGCATCAGTTCGTTCAACAAGTCTACTCCGATTATGCTTCAGTGAACACAGTTCTCTTTAGGAAATAGGTTTTTGAAAAGGTAAAGGCTTCCCTCGCTCGAAAGCCAGTCGAATCTGACTCTAGGGATGCAGTACTCATCTCCGTTTCTAAGCTGAAGAGCCAGCGCTGTCCGAAGACGTTTCTGTGGTCATGTGGCCGGCATGACTAGATGCCGAGGCGCACGGAACGTTGTCACCTTCCTGCCGAAGCGGTACCTATTTATCTACTTGCAATTTCTTGCTTTCGAACTGCTAGGTTGGCAGGAGCTGGGGCCAGAGGCGGGGGCTCACTCCATCATGCGGCACTCGGGTCTCGAACTGCCGAACTAATGACCTTCTGGTCTCAAATTAGCCATCATCCTTTCCTGCTCTCCCCTAATCTCTGCCTCTCTTTTGCTCCCTTTTCCTTTCCCCGAGCCACTTTTATTCACCTGCTCCAGCTCTCTATTTTTCTCTCCGCCGCCGACCCCTTGCGCTCTCTGTTCATGGCCTGCTTGGAGCTCTGTTCCAGAGGCACCTCCTTCTCCTCCTTCTGCCAGCAACCGAGTTCCCCGGCCTTTCTCCTCTGGGCTTTGTACTGCTGCTCCCCCTGCTCTTTCCTAGCCTCACTTGGCTAAGCCCCAAACCCATTCTGTGCCTTTGTGCCTTGCATTCACTACTTGAGCCCAAACTCTCTCCCTCCCTTCCCACCGTGGACCTGCAACAACCCCTTTCTCTCCCTCTTTCCCGTTTTTATTTCTCTCCAAGAAACACTATCCAGTGGGTGTGCTGTCAGTAGAAGGTGTCTGAACATAAGAGAAGCCAATGTTGGATCAGGACAATGGCCCATCCAGTCCAACACTCTGTCACACAGTGGCCAAAAAAACCAGGTGCCATCAGGAGGTCCAGCAGTGGGGCCAGGACACTAGGAGCCCTCCCACTGCTGCCCCCCCTCCAAGCACCAAGAATACAGAGCATCACTTGCCCCAGACAGAAGAGCATAAGAGACGCCCATGTTGGATCAGGCCAATGGCCCATCCAGTCCAACACTCTGTCACACAGTGGTCAGAAATACCAGGTGCCATCAGGAGGTCCAGCAGTGGGGCCAGGACACTAGGAGCCCCCCCCCCAAGCACCAAGAAGACAGAGCATCTCTTGCCCCAGACAGAAGAACATAAGAGAAGCCCATGTTGGATCAGGCCAATGGCCCATCTAGTCCAACACTGTGTGACACAGTGGCCAGAAATACCAGGTGCCATCAGGAGGTCCAGCAGTGGGGCCAGGACACTAGGAGCCCTCCCACTGTTGCCCCCCCCCCAGCACCAAGAACACAGAGCATACCTTGCCCCGGAGTCCCTATCTATATCTGTATACTTGATTTTATCACACTTCCCAATTGCATTCACTTCTCCACAGCATACCTCTATTTTGGTGGGTTGTATTGCACTGCCTTCTCTTTACGAATGTTCAATGAAAGATCAAATGTAGTTCAATTAAAAGTGGCCTTCTACTTCTGTTATATCGGTTCCCCACCACCACCACCAATATTGTCCCAAGGCTGTGCCTGGGTATAGGCTTCAGAGTCTTCCAGGGTACATTCCGTAGTAGAATCAGCAGATTCAGCAGTAAAGGCCACAAATATGTATTCCCTCCCCCCACTTGCCTTGATAGCACTACATTACTCAGCCTTCCCAAAGAGAGCATATACCTTGCTAGCATCTAACAGAGGGCGAAGCTTCCATGCTTGCTAATTCAGTGGGTTTTGAGAAGAATGCAAAAGTAAGGAATTGGGTCTGGACAAACGGGGAGGGGGGGGATGTTCACTTCAGGATGAAATGGACCTAGTTAGAGTTGTTTCAGTACATTTTATTTTAAGTAGCTTTGAATAGGTATAGGAGATATATGGCTGACAAATCCATTTGAATGACTGACAGAGAGTTCATTTACCTGGCACAGTCTGTGATCCCTGAGTATGTATCCTCATTGATTCCCCGCTGCAAGGACTGCAGCCTCGTCTTGATTACTGAGGAAAGAAGACAGCAAAGCTTGATACAACGTCCCATTAGGGACACATTTCTCTAGCCAAGAGCACAGATTTCTATTCAGGAACTTGTCTGAAGGAGAGTTCTGAATCTGACTCCTAGGGTTATCTAATCCAGCAGTCTGTTTCCCAAAATGAGCCCGAAGTCCCGACAAGATGCACAAAACGGAAACGGGACGAACTTTCTCGAGTTTGACCGTTCGTTTCGACGCGTGTCTTTATCAAACATCAATTTTTCAGTGTTCTTCTTCACTCAATTACACCATAAAGGTATTCAGACATTCATGAATGGCTTTCTACAGCTCTTATTCTTAACAACTGTTTCCGGAACTGCACCCCTGAACTCGAGAAAGTTCGTCCCGTTTCCGTTTTGTGCATCTTGTCGGGACTTCGGTCTCTTGATGATGTTATCTATCGAAGTGAATCAAGATTAAAATGACATTTATTATGGACATCTAATATTGATTATGGACATCTAACATTGATTGTTTGAACTTATGCAGCGATTTATTGCGTGTTGATGTTGTTCAGATTGCTGTGCCCTTTGTCTTTATTGTCCCACAATGAGCCACCCAGGGCTTCTTTTGGTAGAAAAAGCCCAGCAGGAACTCGTTAGCATAATAGGCCACAGGAACTCATTAGCATATCAGGCCACACCCCTGACAGAGCCGCTCCCTCCCAGGATCGGCTTCTCCGGGTGCCCTGCGGCTTGCAGGGTGCATGGGGGAACCCGAGGAGGGGAGGCAGTTTAAACTGCCTTCCCTCCCTAGATCGGCTTGGCTTCCCCAGGTGCCCCGGGGGGAACCCCACCCCGATGTGCACGTCACTTCCAGGTCAGGACACAGGTAACACTTGGCGACCCTACTCCCCGCACATCACACACAGCCCTCCAACTGGACTTTGTCATCGTGCATACCGTCACAAGGGTTGACCGCGACGGCGGCCGTGCTGCCTGCCAGGCACCCCGAGAGGAAGGACACGTAGAACGGGGCCTTGACGTCGGGGTTCTTCTGCCCCAGGTTGTTCAAGTTTGCAAACAGTGGGAAATATACAATGGAAAACGGCACATCCCTGCAGGGGAAGAGACAAGACGGTGGACGACAAGGAAGGAGCGGTTTGCTTCGTTCTTCTAACAAAAGGTTGCTTGCGGCAGCAAAGAAGATTACCGTCTCCCACCGGGGAATGCAGTGATCAAGTATCCTCATTGTGTCTCCCTTCTTAAGCCCGCATCCTCATTTGATACTTGGAAGCATCAGTGCAGTGCAGTGCAGCACCTTTAGTTGCCATTGCCAACAGAAATAAAGCATAAAAATATGTAATACTATGTCAAAATACTCATTCACAGGCTGCTTTGCCCTAGTAAGATAGGAGTTTTATTTTAAGGCTCAATCAGATTGGCTCCTTTTACTGCTCCCTTTACCCCCAAGCTGCGGTGGCTCAAGTGGTTAAGATGCTGAACTGCAGGCTGTGGACGGTCAGTCGTTCAGCAGTTCGAGACCCGAGTGTGCCGCATGATGGAGTGAGCTCCCCTCTCTAGTTCCAGCTCCTGCCAACCTAGCAGTTGGAAAGCAAGAAATTGCAAGTAGATAAACAGGTACCGCTTCGGTGGGAAGGTAACAGCGTTCCGTGCGCCTTGGTGTTTAGTCATGCCGGCCACATGACCACAGAAACGTCTTTGGACGGCGCTGGCTCTTCGGCTTTGAAGCGGAGATGAGCACCGCAACCCTAGAGTCGGATTCGACTGGCTTTCGAGCAAGGGAACCTTTCCCTTTACCTTTATGCATTCTTACTGTACTGCGTTATGTCTTGACTCTTCGGACAGCGCTGGCTCTTCGGCTTGGAAACGGAGATGAGCACCGCAACCCTAGAGTCGGATTCGACTGGCTTTTGAGCAAGGGAACCTTTACCTTTACCCCCAAGAGATGGATGCCAGAAGTGTGCACTTCATCTGTTCAGTCCCCACACTTCTCCGGTCCCATCTGTCTTAGGACTCAACTCTGGAGACCAAATTAGCTTGCTTATGGATCTTACCCTGATCCAGTACCTAAAGCCTAACCTCCTATCTCCCTGAGATCGCCTATACTGTTTAACCCAGGACACTGAAATCCAGACCTGTAGCCATGGTGGTGCAAAAGGGAGTGGTACCCCACCAACCATTTGTCATGCTCCTCCCATCGGCATTACAGGTTGGTGTGAAATCCGTCACACATCTTTCAGGTGTGAAGGTAAAAGGTAAAGGTAAAGGTTCCCTTGCTCGAAAGCCAGTCGAGTCCGACTCTAGGGTTGCGGTGCTCATCTCCGTTTCCAAGCCGAAGAGCCAGCGCTGTCCGAAGACGTTTCCATGGTCATGTGGCTGGCATGACTAAACACCAAGGCGCCCGGAACGCTGTTACCTTCCCACTGAAGTGGTACCTGTTTATCTACTTGCAATTTCTTGTTTTCGAACTGCTAGGTTGGCAGGAGCTGGAACTAGAGATGGGAGCTCACTCCATCATGCGGCACTGGGTCTCGAACTGCTGAACTACTGACCTTCCACAGCCTGCAGTTCAGCATCTAAATCACTTGAGCCACCGCAGTTCCAAAAAGGAAGGAGTCGAGGTTAAAAGTGTGAATCCTTTCATAGATCTTCTAAAGGTGAATTCTCTATGCAATTGGCTAGAACAGAATTAGCAGCAGAGCTAAAGCGTCCTGATTGTAAAAGCCTGCAGGGGTGTTGGGTGGCACCGTTAGAAGCCTTGAGTTAGTGATTTGCAGAGAAAAGAAGGTTGAATGTACAGGTTCGGGTTTCAATAACTGGAAGAAGGCTCTCACACTTCTTTAATTCTGCAAACTATGTCGAATGCCCTTGGGAGGGCATTTGTATAAAGCTTAGACAGAGCAGGACTGTAGTCTATGCCACAAGTGTACGCTATAGATTATTGATTTGCTGTATGTTCTACCATGCTCTTACAGCATTGTTTTCATTTTTTGTAATTTCATTTTCTGCATTGCTTGACATAGCATGTTTGATACTTTTTTTTTTGCATTTTTGTAATTTTTGTACACTTAGTCCTATTGCACTTTTATTAGATCTCTCATGCTGTTTATGTACAATGTTCTATATACCATGGAGTCCACTTTGAGTCTCAAGTAGAAAATTGGTAAATAACTAATAAAGTATAAATAATAAAGTAAATAAATAATGAAATGTTCTGGCTACGGGCCTGCCTAAATCTATCCTTTCCCTGTTAAACCCTTTCTCTGTCTCTTCATCTCTTCATTTGCCAAAACCATTCTCTGGTGCTGATCGTGTTTGTCTGCATCCAAAACTCCCCTCCTTTCCACTCTTTCAGACATTCCGCATCCTCCCACTGGTTGATGTCACTGGGAATTAGCATACTTCCCCTCTAGACAGGGATCTGCTGAGACCCCTGGAGGGTACAACTAAGAAGAAGAAGAGATTGGATTTATACCCTGCCCTTCACTACCCAAAGGTGTCTCAGAGAAGCTTACAAACTCCTTTTCCCTTCCCCTCCCCACAGCAGACACCCTGTGAGGTAAGGTGGGGCTGAGAGAGCTCTTGTCAGAAACTGCTCTTTTTCAAGAACAGCTCTTATCAGAACTACGGTTTGCCCAAGGTCATCCAGCCAGGTGCAAGTGGAGGAGTGGGGAATCAAACCCGTTCTCCCAGATTAGAGTCCGCACACTTAACCACTCCACCAAACTAAGGGCCATCTGTCACAAAAGCACAATGCACCATGATGGCATTATGTCAACAACAACAAAAATTATTAGATACAACGCTTCTGACACCAATGCTAACTAATTTATAATAATACATATGAAAGGGGGCAAGAAGTTGTCATGTCAAATTCCGCATCCAAGGCAGAATCCTCCCTATATTGGGCCCCCTGCAACGAAGACATGCAAACTATATAATCCAGACTAATTAGAGATGTGAAAGCCCAGAAAAAACCCGGAAAAATTCATGAAAAAACATTTTTTTTCTGAAGCCTTTTTTTTGTTTTTCTCTGAAAAATTGGAAAAATTGAAAAAAGAAAAGAAAAAAATGATTATGGAACGTTTTATTTTAACATGATGAATAAAATATTTTAAGACAAGGTGTTCAAATATTTTCCAAATCATTTCTAGGTTACAAACTGAACTCTCCAATGCAAGAACAGGATGCATTTCTTCCTTTAGGAGGTGCGATTGTCACAAGAAAATAAAAAGGTTTCAGTTTTGTTTTTGCATGTGGGTGGGAAGTCTGTTTGTAATAATTGTTTGGATACACTATATTTTTAATATACTAGTTGTGGTAATTTCATGCCAAGTAAAAATGTCCATAGTCATATTTTATGTTCCTAAACTAACAGAATGACTTTCAATCTGGAAAAGAAAAAAGAAGTGCTAATGTAGCAATTTTGTTTCAATTTTTCCGAAAATTTCCGTTTCCCCCCAGAAAAAAACAGTTTTTTCCCCGAGCTTCTACATTTCTGGAAATTTTACATCTCTAAGACTCATCCATTTAGACTTTTAAAACTACCTTCTCTAGAGGACTACCCTACCTTAGTAATGTAGCCCCAAGTCCCTTATACAGTCCAGCGATGCCTTTGTTCCGAAGCAACTCCCTTGTGATTTGCATAGCTGTCGTTCGGGCCTCCACGACAGACTCTGCCGCCCCAGCACTAGTGGAAGGGCTTAGCTGAGCCTGTGCCGCCATCAGTTTCTTCTGAGCCGCTGCAGAGGAATCAAGAGCAGATAGTCACTTACACACCTCCACACTAGGCTGATGCTGCAACAGGAGTGTACACCCATCATTGAAAAGGTCTTATTCCAGCAAGAGAATAAAAAGGACAACCGCAAAAGCAAGGGGACCAAGCATGGCCTGAAATCAGCACTCGCCAATATTTTACATGTCCTGAAAAATGAATCTTGTCCAGTTCAGCTGTGAAACTGCAGTTCTGATAAAGCAAAATATTCCTGTGGACAACACGCAACTTTAAATATTCAGGACATTCAACGTACATCTTATGTGAAAGAGACACAGATGCTTTTCTTATGTGACACAGAAAATGACAACTATTTGCCAAGAATGTTATGACGAATGGCCAAACCAGACACAATGGCCAGGGTCCGGCATACCTGAGGGACCGCCTTTCCCCATACAGGCCCCAAAGAGCACTTTGGTCGGGGTCACAGCACCGTTTAGTGACCCCGGGCCCTAAAGAGGCCAGGCTTGCTGCCACAAGGGCCAGGTCCTTTTCGGTGGCAGCTCCTATCTGGTGGAATGAGCTCCTGGAAAAGATCAGGGCCCTGCGGGACCTGTTACAGTTCCGCAGGGCCTGTAAGACGGAGCTCTTCCGCCAGGCTTTTGAATAGGAGCCGCCGCCGCCACCAACGGGCAACTGCGAGCAGTACCGCTGGGTTGGGCCGACTGGCCACTTTGAACACCGTGGCCCACAGCATCCCCCTCCTTGGCCCCATGTGATGCGCAACGGGGAGCGAGTATGTTAGTCGCGAGGGATCCACTGTGTTTTAACTGTTTTAACTATATTTATTGCACTGAGTGCCTTACTTGTTTTAACTGTGGTGCTGCATTACACCTCGTGTTGTAAGCCGCCCTGAGCCCGCGAGCGGGGAGGGCGGGATATAAATGAAATAAATAAATAAATAAATGGGGGGAGGGGGGTAATTAATGGGTGCCCAACGTTCAGAGTAAAAGGGTTTTACCAGTGAAGGAAACTGAGCCTACTCTATACGCACATTCCACTTATCCCCCTGTAGTTTCCCCACCCAATTTAACTTTTCTCCCACCTAAACTCACTTCCAGTTCTAGAGGTCAGCTCAGAAGAAATGTTCCTTGGGGGGACAGACTTGGTATGCGGGGAGAATTTAACAGTTCACGGGACCTGCAGAGAGGAATGCTGAAATCAGACCCCTCTACATTATTAGGGCAGCTTCGGATTTACTACCATCACGTCTGGTTCAGCCCAGATGATACCCTGGGTTCACGCCGTCTTGTGCAAAAAAGTGTACCGCCTTTTCCCCCCACAATGCCCACAAGCAGAATGAGGTGGGCAATGCCGAAGTGATAGAATGGACTTCCTCATAGCTGACAGCAGGTTGTCAGCAAGCTGCCAATGTGTTTTTGTTTTTTCTCTCTTCACGTATGCGCTTGATTGCTTTCGCTTTCATATGTAGACCTGTTGATGCGCTTAATTGCTTAGCTGCTGGAACGTCTATATCTCTCAAGGCCACAGGTGGTTGCTGCTGCTGGATAGTTGCTTGGGTGATCTCACGAAAACCCGTGGGAAGGAGATAGCTTGTACTGCCTAGAAGCGTTTGCTCCCAGGCCCGATGGCGCGCGCGGGAACTCCCGCAATTGGGCCTCAGTTGTTTGAATGTACTATAACATGCCATGCTCATTGATCCCCCCTCATTCCTAACAGTGTTCCTGTCCATGCATCTATAGCTTCAAATAAAGTAAAACCTTCCTGCAAGTGTGTACTTCATTGTTGCTGTCAGGGGTCGTTTCGTAGAAAAAGAGCTAGGGGAACTCATTAACATAACTCATTAGCATATGCCACACCCCCTGACATCACCGGAAGTGTGTCATAAGGCCACACCCCCTGCCTCCA